GTGTGTTTGGTTTAGTTAACTTTATTAATTTATAATTTTTTAAAATAATTAATTAAGATATTTAAAAATATTAATTTATAAATTTATTTTAAATTGATATTACCTAATAATTATAATATTTAGTTGATTCTAATAATCAAACCAAATACAACCTCAGAGTACCTTTTTGTAGGTGCAGTAAACCTTCAAGATCTCCTTTGTTATAATCTTCTCTTCAAATTGACCTGCAAAACCCCAAGAGTGGTTCTCGAGGTAGACACTCCAATACTTAAATTAGCAATAGTTTGGTCTACGCCTTCTATTTAGAAGAATCTTGAAGGAGTTCTAGATTGGTTTGTTCATCTTACCTTAGAAATAGTCCGTGGAAGTATTTGTATGTTTTGACAAGACATCCACATGGCTTACTTATCACAATAATCATAATATGATGTGTCTAACAAAACAGATGTTTTAGGTGAACGTAACGTACCTTAACGGAGTGACCACATTAAATGAGCGTGGCATATTATGACGGAGCAGGTCTCTCAAAGACAAAAAATTAGGTAAGGACAAGCAATCGAGTAAGGGCATTCTCATTATAATTGCCATGCAATTGTGGCAGAGCATTGAGCTCTGCTCTGTCCTTACACTTTCTGCACTCAAAATAATGTAACTCTTTTTTGGCTGATTCGAAAAAAAAAAAAAACAGTGAGAGATCAGTGATCTCTCAAAGATCAAATGTTTAACAGAGAACAACAAAGGTTAAGATCACTTAAAGAATGGTCATCAGTGCTTCAAATCTCTTATCACCCAAAAGGCTGTTAAAGCGTTTCTCCAGCCTCTCTTTATAAATCAATTCAGTAAAATCATGCTTTTGAAAGAATTATTGATGTTGGGTGATTATACATTTTTTAAAATTATTTCAAGATTTTAATGTGTCATTTATTATTAAATATTTATATTTTAATCTTTATGGACTTGATAACAAACAAATATTATTACTTCAACACAATCATGCAGCAATGCTTTTATAGCATAGATGCTTTTATTTCCTCTAAGATGTTATATTTTTTGAAGTAACACATCATTTCAATCTATAGTGGAATACCCGAGACTTATTGTAGTCAAGTAAATTTCAACATCAACACCTAACCAAAATAAGTGGAGCCCATGGCAACCCGCTCAAGTTTTATGAGATTTACAATTAAAATAAATTATAAAAACTCCCTGATTATTAATATAACAAACTATTCAAGTAGCTCAACAGTAATCTTCTCTTTCTAAAAGTAAAATATTCTGAATTTAAATCGTATAATATACAAATGAAATGAGTTAAGGGATGAAAAATGATTCTCTATTATTATATAATTTAAGATAAAAAATTAATATAAATAAGAATTTATTTATATATAAATATAACATATTACATTTACATAAAATTTTAATCATTTATTTCTCCACTTTCAATGGTTGATATTTATTATAAAACTTATATGTAATTAAATTTAATTAAACATGGAAAATCATGAAAGCATTTTCAAATTAAAAAATAATAAATGAATGACAAAGTTTGATCTCAAAATCTTATCTTAAGTCTCACCTGAAATTGGATTGTAAAGATAAATTGTGCTATTAATGTGTTGTAAAATAAATAGATAATTAAATATAAGATAATGTATTTAACAGATAAAATATTACGATAAAGAGAAAGTCTTCTAATGTTTCTGCTTCTCATTTGGGCCTAGTGAATGACAAGAGTTACAAGAATTAATCAATTACTAAACAAAGATTTTGTTTTTGGATAATGATTGGTACAGCTTTTGGTTCAGCACACCTAACAACATCCATTGGTTCAATCATTAATAAACTAATACTTTCAAATTTGAATTCAATGTGGAAAAATTTTCAAAGGTAAATTTTAATGATTAAACTAGTAGGTATTGTTGCATGTGTTGAACCAAAGCGTATACCAATCATTTCTCTTTGTTTTTATGGACACTAAAAAGTGACTCGAATCAGCATTATAGAATATAAAAATGCATGGGAAAGTGAGGAATAAATAGCCATTACATGGAGGAACTGAGCTTTTGGTCGAAATCCTCAAGCCTTACTACTTGGGTTTAGGTAGTTAGAAGTTCGACTTCCACCAAAGACTTGAAAAAAATCCCCCATTCCCCATAATTCCCCATGTTCAAAAAAAAAAAAAATAGTAATTACATGAAGGGTGTATAAATGCCTGTAAAGTGGCGAGGGGGAGGATGAGAAAAGTGAAATATTCACATTCACATTATATAGTTGAACTTATTTTTCTTCTAATGAATAATCTATATATATAATGCTACCCTATGCATTAAATAGAGTATGCATTTATATAAAATTATAAAAGTTACATAAAATATAATAATAAAATATAAAAATATAATTATATAAAATGCTACTTTTTATATATTAATTATAGGATATGCATTTACATAAACTTTACATAAAATATAGTAAAATCTTAAAACCGTAAGATAAGTGAAGAGACAAGTTAATTAATTTGTCTTGGTAGATGAAGAGGCAAAACCATTCAAATATTCAAAAATAGAAAAAAATTATCTAACAAAAAGAAAATGAAGTCAATGGTCAACTATTTAAACTCCCTACATTTATTTTTCTGAAGATTTCTTTTGCAAGCTATTTCATAGTTGTGGTAAGTGACACCCTTTTTTTTTTTTTTATTGTTGTTTTGTTTTGAAGATTTTTCTAAATTCAAATTTTGGTTGTGGAGGATAGTTGCTTGAATTGCTCTTTCTCACTATGAATAGGTATTTGATTTTAACTATCAATTTTTTTTTCCCTAATTATGTTACATCTTTTCTCTTATTTTAAAATATTTTGTTGCTAAAATTTCTAAAATATTTAAAGATAAATCAATTGCAAAAGATATGGAATATATATTTCTTGATCAACTTTCACCCTATAAAGAAGATTGAAAGATTAAAGAGCGAATATGAAGATTGTAGCAAGTAGGATGTTTTTAATATGAAACGTGATACAAACCATTTGACTACTGAAATGGTTTTAGTTACGATAAGATAATTAATTTTATGAGTTATTACATTAGGTCTTTTAAGTACTAAATGATTTCTATTGACAATAGTTATTTTGTTTGCAAACAAATTTTATTCATGTTGTAACTTGGAGTTCCAATGCCTTGTTTTCTTATAAAGGATTGAAGTGGAAAAAATTAATAAAAGAAAAAAAAAATCAAAGTTAGCCGACAAAGTAACTATTCAAGGGAATTTTTAATTTAAGGGTACAGACTACATAAATTCATTATTCAATTAAGAAGATTAGACCTTAAAATTTATTTCAAATCAATTAAGACATTTTAGTCTTAAGCTCAAAATTCTACTAAATTTCTCTAAAAATTGAATGGATATTCTAAAATAGAAATTAAAAGCATATTAAAATACGCTCATGCTTCTCCTTATGCATGAGATGGGACGTCATTGGTTTCTTCTTCTGGTTTTAAAAACCACTTATTTAGACGTTCTGATGCCTTATTTACCTGCAGTATCAAAAAAAAAAAAAAAAAAATTCTCAACAAGAAACATTCCATCTATGTACCAATATTAAAGATAAAGATAGGTTTTATTATGGCATAAATATGACATAAGGACCCAAACTTATACAAAATTCGCAATGTTGGACCCAAACTTCAATTGCACTCAATTAAGGTCCCCAACTCCAGGAAATTCTCAAATAAAGTCCCAATTGGACGGAAAACTAACTTCCGTCAAATCTAACAAACACCGTTAATGGCTTCTTGACGCAGTTCGTCATCGGCTTCCGTGGTGGCGTTGCACCTGCAGGTCCTGCACGCCTTTGCAT